CCCTTGGTCCAATTAAGACGAACCGGTAGCAACACGATCACAAGATTCCAATGATTTTCGAAGATTTATCCGCAGTCAGTCAATGGTCACCCATCAAATCAATAACAGGTTGATGAGATAAACTCTATTCGCATGCGGACGTGTTCGATATTTCAGGGAAAGTGTAAATACTGTAATTGATGGATACGATGTCGCATCTCGTGATATTTAATGATGGAATGAAAACAATTTAAACAAACGCACTCGAATGTATTTGAGCACGTTCACTCATTGTCATTCTTGAATATATCAATTATTGATATAATAATTGTTTCGTGTTCTATTATAATATTTATTATAATACGTACCGATATATATATAACCAATATATATGTATATTTGATTTTATTCAAATAAAAAATGTAAAAGTTGTAATTAAAAAATATTAATGATAATTTAATAAATAGCATCGAGGAGAGAAAAACAATATAAAACAATATAATACGTTAGTAAAGATTTTTTCGACTATTAATTACGTTAAAATATTCTTATTCTACAGCGTATTATCTATATATATCGCGTTTATATAATATTATTGCGTATTTCAACGGCGCTATGAAAGGATAAGGACATTTGCAATATATATTCAAAATCTCTTTTGTAAATGAAATTTGAAACATATTTGAGAACGGCGTCTATAGCAAAACGTATAACAAAGGATCTCGCACAGGCACGGGCAACCGTTTATTCGGATCATCCAAAGAATCGAATACTGGTCGCATTTACCCGGATGAGAATCGGGCTACACAAGGGTGGAAAACCGAGTGAAAGTCCACCTGGTGCATCCGTTGCTCATGTGAGCAGGAGGGGCGTAAACGCGCGAAAAATCGACATGGAATTTCCTCGATTTTCTTCGAAGGGCGTTGCGTGACCACCCGGCATGTCCGCACCATAAATCCAGCCACGACGGAAAGCGTAGCGATTAAAAGAGAGGCCGATGTGACACAATACGGGAGGCTGTCTGTCGAATATTTACCGAGCTCTCCATTGTTACTAGAGCAATAGCAGCTCTTCTCCTTTGGTGCCTCGCATTTTTAACTTTTTTTATTTTTTATTTGACTTCCTGTGTGCGAGAACACAGGATGTAAAAAAATATATGGGAAGCGTAAAATAAATGAAGAATCTTATATGAAAAGTAATTCAAAGATTTTAAATAATCAATACGTGGGATATTTAAATTCAATAATAATATCCATGGATATATCATACACGAATTTACGTGAAAATATAGCAGAATATAAAATTTGTATAGTTATGATCATACGTGATTAAGTATTTGTAAAAAGTATCAAACTTTTCTGCAGAGTTTGTCCAAGTCAAAACGTTTGCGCGACTGTAGATGTTCGAGTACTTTGATTATGCGACATGCTCTTTGCAAGAAACTGCTAGATCGCCCAAGTATGGAAAACAGAATCCTTTCTCTTTCCTCTATCCCTTTTCCAGGAGTTTGATCTTTTCTCTCACACACACATACACACATATTTATCCCTTATACTCTCAGATTGTCACTGTTCTTTCGGACCCCACCGTTGCCCTAGCGGTCAATTTAGTGAATGGACGTCTCCAAGTCACTCCTCTTAGAAAGATCAGAACAACCGCCTTTTAAAGCTTCTCTAAATGGAGACGTTTCTCAGAAGAAAACCGGTGTATGCAAAAAGGATATAAACCGAAAAGTCATTCAATGAATTTTTAACAATGTCGATACTCAATAGAGAAAAAAAAACGAATATACATCGAATACATCGATATTATCGTAAATTTTTAACAAATTTATATTATACATCACGCGATAAATACTAAAAGATAACATTTAATATAATTTATATATTTAAATAGCAAATAGAACAGCGATTATGCTTATATAATAATTACGTATTGCATTTATGTATTCAGATATTAGAAGCTTGTTCCCGCAGCGGCTAATAATGTGTCAAGTTATACGCGCGAAGTTATGTCTGATAATTCGACTAGGAATAACCGTTTCAAAGTCTAATAAACGCTCGACACGCAGGATAATTAAGCGTACACGCGCGTCTAATTGCGGAGATACGTCCGAGAACGCGGCGGCGTATCTGGCTCTCCCATGAAACCTCTTACGAAATAGTAGGGATCACAGCTGGTAGCAGCTGAGCAGGAGGACGATCACGGATAGGATCTCTTCTAACGATCGCTGACTTAATATTCTCCCGGCGCGACGGTATTCGATTTAACGAGGGCGGCATCGCTGCGGGCCACAGAACGCACGCGTGCAAGCAGGTGAAGCAACGGCCGGGAAATAGACTGACCGATCCAGGGACTGGTCCAAGGACCGGAGAAACGCGCCGTACCTACTGAAAGAAACGCACGGGAACCTGTCCAGGACAGGCCGGGCAGATAAGCAACTGCGCGATAAGATACGCTAATTGAGAGATCTTAATTGGAGGCTGCGCGCTGGACCCTCTTCTCGCGCGGGCATACCGCCAACGGCACGCCGTCGCTTCGCCGCATTTGTGAATCCACGATGCTCATGTTTGACTCGTTTTCACGTCGTATACAAATATTATAAAAAATACTGTGCATCCCGAAACCGCTAATAATAAGATAATAAGGCCATACTAACAAAACATCGCTTATTTCAATATTAAGGTACATTAATACTTTTTATTTTATAAACGTCTAACAATAAAAGAATTTCTATACAAATTAAATAAATTCATTCTATTCAAGTTAAATAAATATAATAAATTATTATAGGTATATGATAATTACTTACGGATATTCAAATATTAATGTGTAGAATATTTGACAGTGTAACACCTGTATCTTTTCATCTGTGAAATACGATTTCACAGAAAAGTATTAATATAAATTTGCAGCAGGTATTTATATATGACACATAGGCCCATATTCTGAGCTTACATTTATCGCCAGATGTGCCTCTAAACGTGCCTTAGATGACACGATAAATGTGGCGGTATTCTGAGCGTACATTTAGCGGCAGAGGCATTTAGAGGCAGATCGCCGTTTTTAGCGTAAATGCGCAACTTTATAGTGAAAATCCTATTCTGAACCACATTTATAGCACATTTATGCCATTCTCGATAAATGTGCTAATAAGCCTCCCTCGTTGATGTGTCCGAGGGCACATTTATACGTATATTTATACGTAATAGTGGCGCGCTGTATTCGATGCTTCGCAAGTTTGATTAATTCTATCACTTTTATACAATTGATTTCATTAATAAAATTATTATAGATCAAATTTTTGTAAATAATAGAAATTTTTTACATAACAATATTAATATGATATTTAATCAATACTGAAATTTCTTTTGAAAGCATAATAGTATAAAGTATAAAGTGCAATAAAGGATGTATTTTTTTCTTTTTTTTGACACAATTTTCACTTCAAAGGATTAATTAAGACGAAGAATTATCATGGATGTATTTTACGATATTGATCATGCGATGGAAGTGTGGAAAGTAAATGCAGTGCGTGATCGTGACCCGCAAGTATTTCGAAATAGACGCTTTTGAAGCATGATATACATGGTAGTCATAAATGTATCTCTAATTGTAAGTTAAGGGCGCTATAAATGTGCGATGAGAATACGACTGACTTTAGTCGTGTTACAATTTATCTGCGTCTCTAAATGTGGCGCTATAAATGTGCCGATAAATGTGAGCTCAGAATAAAAGCCATAATCGACTGACAGAGTGAGTAAAACAATAGTTAGACAAAAATTGAAATCTTAAATAAAAAATACACAGATTTTATATTCAGTCACACGAATCTCATAATGTAAATTTTAAACGATTCATTTATTGTGCTGTCGACTGCGTGCATTTCGTGTGAAATCTTGGGACAATCCGCCGCGCCCGGACGAAAGCCGATTGCGGGCATTATCCGGTAAGATAGAGTTTCCGATGGGGGAGCACGAAAGCCGCACGCCGAAGAAGATAATCTTGGGATCTAGATGCGGGAACTTACGCACCATAGAACGTTGTCAACCTACCCGGTGACGCGTGAATGTACGTTGATATAGAGGGTCCGGAGGAAGGAAAAGGGGTATGCGAGAGATTCGACAGCGAGGAGAACGAAACGGTCGGTAGACCTTATGTAAGAATAAGGAGGGTGCAACTCACGACGGTTTCGACGGGCCGATTTTAAGTTAAACACTTGAATGAGAGATAGTAAGACGTAGCGCGAGATTTATGGGAAATAGTTCGAGATTTGGACAGACGAGATTCATGAACATACTTTTCTTTTTACGTCTTCTCCTTCTTCTCTGTATATGTATGTAGAAAATCCTGATTCTTTCTCAACCATCGCTGCAAATAAAGAACCTCTCGGTTGGATCGTGTTGCCGCCGCCGTCAGAACGTGTTTGATGTGTTTGATTTTAGCTTTTCGTCTCGAGACGGCTCGAGTGGATGGATAAGTGTATTGAGAGTCTCACAAATCCATCACCGGTAAAAATTCGGCGTTCCCTGTAAAGTTGAATTTCTTTCACGACGCTAGGAGATATCCCACTTTTTCAGTGCCGTCATGAAAGGATCTATAAGAATAATGTTTGCTATGCTAATATACAACGGATTTGGGGTCTATACTATGTAACACGCGCCTTTATAAAATTATTAGACATAAATACATAGTGATGCTTTTTCCCTCCCTTAAAGAAAAACAAATTATCAAACGGCTATCATTACAGATCCTTAAACACTTCGGGGAGAGAAATGTGAGATTAACTACGTCACGGGCGTAATAACATTACGCGCATGACAAACCTGTCTCGTTCGTTTTTTTTTTTTGCAAACATTTCTGCAGTTTGCATAACTCGTTGAACCAAATCGTATGCCCGCTACTTTATCGCTTTGGAGACTGGTTTAGCTACCGTTCCTTCATATTGTCGTTTTGCGTGCGGACTAAGGATTATAGCCATTAGAGGGATAAGAAGTCGGTATGATAATAAATACGACGAATAGCAGTGTATGAGCGTGTATTTGACAGTGTTTTTCTCTCTCGTACGGCGGCACACATTATTAGAATTCGCAGTACGTATGCGATTTAAGTTGGAATGTTATATTATTGCTAGTTGCTGCCGGGCGTGCTGTGCTCGTTCGTAATAGACTGTTGCGCATCGTAAATAAAACATGTGTACGTGTGTGTATGTGTGTGTGTGTGTGTGCGCGCGCGCGCGCGCGTACGCGTGTGTGTGTCTTTCGTGCTACAGCCAAGATGATTAACGCTGAGCAGCGCGAAGGCGCAATCAAAACCGATCTAATTTCTCAAATCCTGCGGATGCAACGCTCGTTGAACGTCGGCCAGTTACGAAAGTGGCTCCCGATGCTTCTCGTAGAAAAATCTCAGTTCAGCTAATTGGCGATCGTCCAAAGCGCGAAGCATCTGCAAATCTTTCCCCTCTCGGTCGGTCATCCCCTCGAGACGCATGCACGTGAGCACAGCACGACCGGGGTACATCGATACATCGATTTAGTGGGTAACGGGTGGGCCTCTATATTACAACGCGAATTATAGTGTAGAATATCATCATCGTCGTCGTTCGTTATACAACAATCATCGTAATAATTATTATCATCGTTTCATTGTTATCGATCGTCATCGGGTGTGCCTAAGACAAGTCGGTATTAAATATCTTACAATACACATCATCTTTCATATATATATTTTTATTTATATATATATATATATATATATATATATATAATATTTATATTTTACCTTTTTCTTTTTTTCTTTTTATTTGTTATGTATACTATCTATCTATAGGGAGGGGTAGAGTCAGATTCATCTCTTGTGTTTTGTTCGTTTCATACCGTTTTCTGGTTCGTCAATGGTGAGGATGTAAAAAAAAGGAGGGGGTTTGGGATAGGTGATGATGATCTGCTCGCAATCGAGTCAGGTGAATGATAAGACGATCGCAGTATCATATAGTATTAACACAGTTTAAAGATCAAAGAAAATTTTTGCCAATATGTAAGAATGTATATAAACAAGCAAATGTCAAACAAAGAATTTGAATGGACATTTTTTCTCAATTCCAAAAAATTAATACCAAAACGAGACTCGATTACGAATAGTTCGATGAGATCGCGAGAATGACGCTGGTCGATAATCACTTTTTTTGTCTTCTTTATATATCTATATATATGTATATATACACACATATATATATATATGTATATATGAAGAACGACAATCAGTGACATATCTCGCTTTCAAAGAGACTCGCAAACTCCATAAAAATTATTCTATCATTTTTTTTTACACATCGCCATGAACGCCGCGGTGATTCTCTGCACGTCGCTACGTGACGCTAGGCTTACACATACAAAACGAGTTGGTTAATTTTTAAAGGTGGAGTTACAATACCCATATTAGAATACAATACATATACGTTTTTTAGATTAGTTATCTGTTATTAAATTATAAGCGTCGGATTTTATGCCTTTCTCATGGTCAGCTGCTGGCATTTAATTTCTGTTTACACGCAACATCTTATCGTGCTTAGCTTGCACTCGCCACGTGCCGATAACGAATCACCCCGAAAGGTATAAGACTTTAATACAATTAAAAGCAGTCTGTGATAAAAAAGACAAACATGAATTGTCAGAATATGAAAATTGTTGTTCCCAAAGAAATAAATGCCTAATTTATTAAGAAATGCGTTGCAAAAATAAATCTTTGATTCGTTGTACGAAACGTGGCGTTACTACGTGCATATTGCTCCCTACTTTTTTTTTTTTTTAACACACATACAAACATCCGTAGGAATAAGCTTTTCTATGCACTGCCACTCATATGCAATTAAATTAATCAGATATTGAGTATTTTTCAGACTTTGTGTAAAAAGCATGTTTTAATAATCGAAACGAATGAAGGAACGCAAAGAAAAGAAAATATATCTTTAAATAAATTTAGTTATCCAAAAAAAGTAATTAAAATATATCTTGATAATGTGTATGTATAATTGGAATATTACTCCTTATTAGAACTTATTAGAACATATAAATGTAAATGTACAATTAATCGTTACCTTTTTTACATATGGAGAGAATTTGCAATACAAAAATATCTTTCCAAGAGAAAAGTATAAATAAGTTAAAGACCGATGAAATACTTTCGAGCAAATAATTACTGATATCGTATCAAACGATTCATAATTGTGACGAAATAATGTTGCGCGAAATGGTAATTAAGAAATGTGACTGATTGAAAAGAGAGGAAAATGGGAAGGGTGGGGGGGAACGGTGAAAACGATAAAAAGAGAGCAGCGCATATCTTCATATACATATATATATATATACGTACAAGGACAACGAAGAGTCTCTCGGGCGTTTCGGCTTTCGTAGTACCTAAACATGATTTCAATAAATAAGCTACCTATAGGGAGTGATCTCTTTTTTTTTTTTCTTCGAAGGGGAGAGGGAACAGGCGCTCCTTATGTGGCGAATCTGCGAAAATGGATCACTCCAGGGTGCCTCTCTTGTGCCTGTAGAAGATAAAACGGCGCGACGCGCGAGGACGGCGTCCAGTCGGAAAATAGAAGCGAAAAGTAAGATCACACAAGACGTTCTCGCGCAACGAACTCAGCGTCCCTGGTTCCCTTCGTCGAGTCGCCACCGCGTCATATATTCATGTACCTAGCCTAATAATACAGTCTGCGATAGCATTCTAAAGATTAAGTTCTCATTAACGGTAATGCATTAATATATTACACGCATTCACACGCGTTCCGGAGGCGAAATACGTATGCACGCAAAATGCACACAAATATAATATATGCTCGCGCACAAACATGCAGTTTCCAACCGATCGCCGTTGTCCGAATGCTCGAAAGGAAAAGTGTTTCGAGATAGTTTTCACGTGAAATTATTTAGAAAATATATGTCGATAGTTGAATCGATGTCATTTTATAGAAATATACTCTTTATCATTTCATTGCGTATCTCATAAGAATTCTCAAAAATTACGCGTACAGCTTTCTGCTGTAATATATTAATATAGAGAGCTCTTATATAAATATAAAAGTAATTTTTTGAAAACATGAGTCTTGTTCATATTAAGCCTTCAAATGTCCCGCATCTGAAACATTGTGTTCCTTCTATTTCAAAAAGCCACGCAATGACATCGTTATTAATCTTGAAAGATATTGATAGAATCCCGATATAAAACCGATCGTCGCCGTGAAATATCGACGACCCAAGTAAAAAAAAAAAAAAATAAATAAATAAATAAACTTGGATTATCAAAGAAAAACTCGGAGAACTGTCGTCGGTCGTCATATACTCGGCACGTTCGTAATCGATCGTGCCACATGAGTTTGTGCGTCGGCGGCGGTAAGGCCTGCGTCGCGAACACGCAGGCAGGCACGCACACATTATTCATACACGCGGGCAGGCACGCACGCACGCTACGTTAGGCGGCGTAATTAGCACAGCGAGTGAGAGAGTCTTGCGCGGCGTGAGCTCTAACTGCGCAGGAGGGCGTAAGAACGACGACGTACGAACGTCCGCAACGTGACAAATATTTCTTCGCTGGACCAGCGCCGACAACGTTCCCGCTTTGATTCGCGAAAGAATGAATCGTGCCCGGAAATCGTGATCCTTTTACGCACATCGCGCATATAAATTTGTTACGGAAAAAGAATTAACGAATTGATGCATCGGTGTAATACAAATAAAATTCTCTATTTGTTTTCTGTTTTCTTAATACAAGGTTCAATATATTGAGATATTAAATTGCATCCGTGAATATCGGGCATTTCATCGAATTTTTGATATCAGTATCACATATTTGAGCGAATCAAGTTTGCGAGAATTATATTAATATTTTGAAAAAAAATTATATATGTGTACATTAGTAATTTAATATTTCACGATTTCCGAAAGACGGATTACCTTTGTCGGGCAAGTCGAGAAGACATGTCCATCGGCGTGCGTCGTCCGCGCGTCTTTTTGCGCTACCATCGCGGGCCAGTGACCGCGCTCGAAGCACAGCAGCCGTTCGGTTGCGTTTCTATACGACGTGAATTCCTTCCATTCGCATTAAACGATCGATTGGGTAATAATGGCTCAAACGAATTTACATGACTGGTATCGCACAGTTTATCGCGACGCGCAGCATCGAGTGAGAAAGAAATATTACTAAATGGCCACGCTTTGACACGAGATTAAGAAAAAAAAGAAGGAGAAATTAGATAGCTAGATACATAGATAAATAGATAGAGCGAGGAAAAGAGATAGAATGAGTGTGAGTGTAAAAAAGAGATAAGAACAGAGAGATAACGAACGATTCATCGCGCGAACCAAACTCACGAGGAATCAATGATTAGAAAAAAAAAAAACGCTCTTATTGTTACGAGGTACATACTTGCCTGAAGGGGGTCAGTCGGGGCAAGTGTAAATCGAACTTAACCGCGTGAAATTGAGATAGCTTCGTCGGGCGGGAACACGCGCGCTCACGCTTCCCCACGTCGTCTCGCGTCTCGCCCGATCTTAGCGGACGCTATCTCGACGACGACACCCGTTCCCGGGCGGAAACGGAAATTGAACGGGCGCAGCTATAAGGCGTGTGTGTGTTTGTGTGCGAGCCGCGTCCACGCTCTCGATTCGCCGACCGAATTCGAACGAATACGTGGTGCTTCGAGTCGCGACTCACGAGGCGCCGTTAAGTGGGCTCCTGACATCCCGACCACGAGCGGTCCACCAGCGTATTTGGCAGTCTGATCTCAGGTTCTCACGGGGTAATGGAGGAGGCAGTCTTGATCGGCGAGCTCGTACGCGGCTCAATACTTGCTGGCCTCGACGAGGAGGCGACTCTCGTGCCGTCTCCGGGGCCCCGAGTCCGTCCCGTCCTGCCGCATCTTCCAGCGATTCGAATGCCGATGGCGATGCGTGGACGTGTGCTGCACGTGCTCCCTCGCACTGTCGGCCTGCAACAGGGAATTCTTCGTGGCCCTCATCATCGGCGATGGCTTTCTCGAGACGACGTACGGCTCCCGCGGCTCCATACCGCCCATCTCCGCGTTCACTAGGCTGTTGTGGTGGTTTATGTCGGCATGGGGGTTGTACTTGATGAAGTTGAAGCACTCCTGTCTGCCGTGGGGATTTTTCATCGGCTTACCGAACTTGTTGAAGCCGATATACCGCGAACCGTCGACCACGCTCCTGTACCTCAGATACGAGCCGTTGTATACTTCGTAAAACTGACACATCGGTCCCTTTTGCTTCTTAGGCTGAAAGTAAACAGTCAACGATTCATGATATATTACCAGCTGCTTTTCAATCCTTTGCAGCTCGAGATAATATGGATGGATATTAAATATCTTTTTTTGTCGTAAAAAAATATGTTATCTAATCTAGCTTTATTTGAAAAATTCCATAAATTTTTAACTTTATTATAATATAGAATGTAAGACTGAAAAAGATAAAAAATGTTTATGCAAATCTAAGAGTATACGAATCAATAGAGTTACACTTTTTTTAGAATTCGCGAATTGTTTTGTAGTGAATCGATCGAAATTGAAAATTAAATATGAGGATGATAAATGATTTGCGTGTGATTTTCATTCGTAGCATACAAAAGTAAACAATAATTATTGGACAACTCTCCTCAAGACGGATTCAGGAAATTGAGCGGTAAATTTAACGCACGATGAATCAAGTAAGATTAAAGCTTGTAATACACGTCGTAAACATTAAAGCCTTAAATCATCGGACTGTTAATAATCCAATTTCTAAATTACAGCCTCGCATATAAGTGATGAATAGAAATTTACGAACAGTGCAATGCGAGGTGTTTACCAGTGCGTGTAAATCTACTCGCTCACTCGGGATGATGAAGTATGTCTACTAATTGGTAGGCGAGTAATTACCAGGCCGACAAGTTTCCACCGCTTATTGAAGCAAATGTATCGTTGGCTCTTCTCCGCAAAGATGTACAGCTTCCTACTGAAATCTTCCGATTGTGTGGTGAGTTTCTCTGTAACACGCAAGAAGAGAAAGAAACGTGAAACATCGTAACAAAATGTCAAACATCGTAACAAACTATTATAAAAACTTTAAATAAGAATACAATAAAGTTTATTATATTTTATTATTATATTACGCAAGCTTAAAAATCGTTTTCAAAATTATTCTCTCTCCATGAAAGAGAAAATAACGGGAAACTTAAGGCATAAAGCATTAAGCATTGTAAATAACTCGAATAAGAATAACTCGGAAGAACCCGGGAGACTTACTTTGAAAAACCCTTGCAATTTCTACCAGCTTCGATCTTGGAGGACAAGCGCGACAGGATGCACAAAGCGAACCGTTTTGTGCTTCGGTATGCGCGCTGGCATATTTCCGAGAAGAGACCTCGTCGGGGTTTATGGCGCGAGTTGTACCTACAACGACGCCGGACCCCTCTACCGAGGCGTTCTTCGGCATCGAGAAAAGAAGAAAAGACTCGGCTAAGCCAGCGCCGCCGAGGCTAGTTGGTGCTAATGAAGGAGGCACAGACCGTCCGGTGTGTGCTTTGCCACTTAGCGGATCCTGTCGTGCCTCGACCCCGAAGTGCACGTTGCACCGTAGCCAGCGTCGTCTTTCCTTCTCGCTCCGCGTCTTCGCGTCTCTTTTCCATCACCCTTCCTACCTGGTGTTACGAAATTTTGTCGAGCGAGAAGCAGGCACCCTTTGTCTGCCGGATGGAGAAAAAAAAGGGACCGGCCGGGTACAGGTGCGCATCGAATGTTTTTTTCTTCTTCTTCTTCTCCTTCTTATTTCTAGTGCGAGAAACATCTAATTCAATATGCTCACAAATTGCTGTAACGTCAGAACTGGGTCAGAAGCGATGGGGAAATTCGATTTCTTTCTTATTGTCGCCGTTTACACGAACGAGAATGTAACAAATATAATATTTTTATATCCTTTGTTTCGCACATATAGATAAATTTGCGTTTTATGCTACAAGTATTTTCGTGAAAGAATTTACTCTTGAATTAAAATAAAAAATCCGTAGTTTGTAATGATTTAAAGAATGTATTTCGTACATATGTTAGCACGTAAGAGAATCGTAATGAGAAAAGAATCAAACTAGGAAGGCAAGTTTGGTTTTTTCGCTGATAGGTTTGTCTACAACCGATCGCAATGTTTCTCGGAAACTTTGTGACGGAAGGCGCAATCGTGAGATCGAGTGTTTGTCCATGGGTTAGTAGTGCGGCATGAGCTTCAGTAGTATAGAAAGAATAAAGAAGGTGAGTCTGCAGGGTGGCCCATTTGCCGGAGCCTCGTTAAATTCAAGTGGTTCTCGTCGGATGCCCTCCCAACATCGAAATCAAGAATGTCCCCGAACTGCCTCGTAAAGCCCTTCTTCGGCTCAGTCTATTTTTTTCTCTCTATCCCTATCTCTTTCTCTATCTTTTTCTGTTTTCTTCTTCTCGCTTATATCTCTCTCTTTTATCCGCTTTTCATTGCTCTTCGTAAACGAAAAAAACGAGAGAGAGGACTTAATCTCAAACTGCTGTCTCGCTAGCCGCTTACAGTATGCAGTCTGCGCCAATTAATTGCACCACTTACGCTAATTAATTAGGTTTACCTCGCAATGGAGCGTCAATTCCGATAGTATCGTTAAAGAGGACAAATAATTGTCTCTTCTTTCCGTCGCTTGAGATAGTCTACGTGAGAAATATCTACATGATTATGTACCTTTAAAAAACGACGACCGATAAGTCCTTTGAATATTAATGCACCGATTGATAGATGTTATAATTGAGAGATATATTTCGAAAGAACTTCCAACTGATTGAATAATCATGAAATATGCAATTATTTTGCAATTTAGATAGACGATAGATATATACACATGGCATATTTTAATAGATTACTTTGCATACAAGAAACTGCATTAGTAATCAAAATATTTCATAATAAAATTTATCAAGAACGAAAAATTTCATATATTTTTCCATTTATCATTATCAATAAAAATGTTTTATAAAAGTTTAATAGATAAATTTTTATGAGTAAAAGACATATATATATATATATATCATATTTTCAAATGATCTATTAATCATATGATGCAAAGATACTATACTTAATAATATGAATCAAATATCTAATCAAAAAAATTTTACCTTCTCTATCGATTGATCGCGGTCAATCAAATGGTAATTAATTAGCAAAAAAATAAAACCTTAAAATCATTTTTATTATTATTATGAAAAGAAATATTATTAATACAAATATCGATAAAATTAATAATAGATATTAAATACTTTCTCTATTCTCCGAAAACAGTTTATCGATCAATAAACGGTAACAAATTTTATGAGGGGCAATCGGTACTATAATAAAAATCGGTACTATGATAAAAGTTTGAAACATCTAACTACGTTATTTTAATACGCTTATCGGAGCAATTGCGTGAATTATGCAGCTGTAAAAATTTGAGCATGGCAAAACTAGCAAGTCAATACAGAATATACGTTACATAATAATGTAAGTATCGCAATGGTTGCAAACAGGTCAAAAATTATATGAGCCGATACTCTCTCTTTCTCTTCCTTCCGGTTCAGAACATCGGAATTTTAGATATGCGTCGCGCAATATCTGCGGTACAACGATGGAAAAAGATACGATGATAACAACCCGATGGCAACGACATTACCGCGTTTCACAAAGTCCGCTGTACGTATTTGCTCGCTCCAGTTACCCATTACCGAACTTTCACATTTCCGGTACCTCGTCGCCGTCGACGTCGTCGTCGGCGACTGAAGCAATCGCAGCGAAACTCTGTCGCTTCGTTCTCGATGCGATGGTTATCGTTATCAAAGAAAGGAAGTGAGACCGGCGCGCCATTCGAGTGCTGACGCGTTTGTTAGTAAGTTGCCAGACGCGCGGAGACAGGCGTCTACGGCACATTGATATCAATCTTCTATTTGATGGATCTCTCCTCGGAAAATGAATCTTTTTCTCGCAATTTTAAGATGTAAATCGAACGCAATATGAAAAATTTTGATATCAGAAAATATTCAGGATTATTTTCAAACGTTGCAGAGTCATACTTTGTGATTAAATTCCCAAGCTCTATGATGTTAAGAGTTAAAGAAATAAAATAAAATAAAAAATAAATATATAGAATAAAATATTAATAATTATAAAAACAATTATTATAATAACTATAAATTACTATAAAAACAATAAATATTAAGTACTATTATTTTATATTAAATTCATAATTATGTATTTTCTCATAATCCTATGATGCGTCCATCGAATGCTATTCGCAAAATATAAAATTCAGAGCATGTAAGAAGCAGAGCTGCATTCCTTCGCAAGACCTATCCGCAATCGATCGATGTAATATATCTTGGCGGAAGATGCCACATTGGAATTTATTCATGGCGCACTCGCGAGCTCGGCGGCGCGTATGAGAATGAAGAGAGGAAGCCACTAAATTTTTCGCTTCAAACCTCTGTCTTCTCTCCCTCAACCCTCCCTTCCTTCGCCCTATTCCCTTTCGCTCCCCACCGGGTTCCGTCGCCCTCGCTCTGGTTCCCTCTGATCGGAGCCGCCGCGAGATTAGAGGCTGCCAAATGAATTAAAAGCCAATTTTAATCAAAAGCGGGCACCGGCTTTTAGGCACGATTACCCCGGATAATAACTAGTAGGATGGGCCTGCGCACGTAAGAGGAAAAGAGCAAGATAGAAGGAGAGAAGAATGGATCCCATATATTACTTCTACGTGCTCCTCGCGATATAGGAACCAATTCGCCGCTTGTTATAGGTTCGCAACTACCTGCATTTTTCTATCATGCCGAAGGAAACTGTGCAAATGTTTTTATTCTCGCAATTAAGCTACGACACAATCTAAGAAATTGAGGAAACTTAGAATCTTCGGTATATTTTGTTGAAAAAAAATAAAAAGAAATTACACGCGCACGCATGATTCCACGCAAGAAGTGTCGATGCAGCTGCTGGCATAATACTGGCCTTGGTGCGAAACTGAGACGACGCGCCGGATCGAGAACCACTGGGGCGCTACAATTTCGCGGCGTCGGCGTTATGAAAGCTATAATACAACGCGCGAGGGAGAGATGGTCGGTACCGACCGTGTAAAGCGCAAGAAAAAGTCAAAAGGGAAAGGCAGGAGGAGAGACGCAGCTCACTCGTTATGAGCGCGCGCGTATAATAGCGACCCTGTCATTAACACCTAAACGCACGATTGGCCGATGCGAACGCACCGGGAACATCCACTCTTCGACGATGTACAGTAGACGAATACCGGCACATCAAGACGGACGGGAATGCAATGCCGAGGTATCGCGAGATCAAAGGTGCGACAGGTGAAGAGCCTGGTTTATCGGGCTGACGCGGTAATCACAGTCCGCCGCGATTCGAATAATTAAATTCCAATCTGGACGATCGGTGCTGCTGACGCACCGCTTGCATGCTTACCCTTTTCCTTTTGTATACAGATCTCTATCGTTTCTCTCTCTTTCCCCCTTTCGTGTCGAAATTCGCGCGAGTATCAGCGCAAAGGGTACCCGATTTTGGAGCATTAAACGTCAAACGAGGCGCTTCGCGAGATGCTTGGGAGATCATTTAAATGTGTGGTAAGTATGTCGCTTCATGGTAATTATAAGCATGTCATGTCGATCATATCTGTGTTTATGAAAAGTCGATAATTATTATTTACCTTCATTGTAGATGATAGTTATTATCGTGTTATTTCTGACGCATTTGAATTATGATTTATCATTCCTGACTACATTCCCTCTCTCTCTCTCGCGTTTAGAGCTTCTACATTTTCTTGTACGTGTCTAATAATATGAATTGCAGTTAAATCATAATTCGATATATTAAGTGTATCTAATGCGAGGAATTAAGAGAAAAAAAAAACGATAATGCACATTTACACGATCTTTTTATCTGTTTATCAGTATATAAAAATGACTCAACAGATAGTTATTGCATTATTCTCACGATTGCATGACATCGCACGATATGTTCACATATTATATAACTCATTTAGTAAGTCACCGTACTTTCATTTAGTAAATCATTTAGTAAATTATCGAAATACAAAGGTTTGTGCTATTTGATAGAAAACACTGAGAGCCATATTAGCTGGCATTTAACTATAACTATATAGCACGGCAACAAAACTTCAAATTCTCGAAGATTCGTCGTGTCGCATTCTTTTTTAAAGCCTGATACACGACTCTTCAAGGACGCTCTCACAGCGTCTCAATCTCCCGTTCAGCAACATACGCCGTTCTGCTTCGCGAGAGGGACTTAAGTAATCGCCGGTCAGAAGAGACTCGTTGTCGGCAGTTGAGTGCCGTGAGAGGTGAGAGAGCAGAGTAACAGAGGGAAAAGGTAGAGGGAAACGTGCGCAACAAGGCAGGAGGAGGTAAAAAGGGGCAGGAGATGAAGGAGGAAGGAGAAGGTACGCGAAGGTGATGGATCTCGGGGAGGTGCAGACGCGGCGCGCAGCATCCGGCGCGAAAACTGGCTCCTCTGTTTGCACAAGCAAGCCTTCTTCCCTCCTTTCGAACCTTCCTTTCGTCCCCTACCTCGACGGCAATCGTCTCGAGAGGAACCGCCTCGTACTCGCGCCGTACGTAGGGCGGACAGCCCGGCGGAGGCTCGTTTCGTCTGGGATATCGCGCGCAAATTTCCGCGGAAAAATTCGCGAGAGTCCGAAAAAAGATCGCCGTAGAATGAGCGTTTTGACAATGGATTCCATATGGCAGTTCATAAAGTTTAAGCTATAATATAGAATTTTCTATTATATTAATAGCATGTCATACTGATAAAATTTGAGAGAAAATGAAATTATCATATCCTATCACATGAGATGAATGAATGATCCATGTCCTAATTATTCTAAATTTATTTTAATACAGTTATATATATACGCGAAAAATAGTAATGATAGAAATGTATACTATTATACAGGGGGCATAGAAATTTTTTCATTCTCTTCAAAAATTATTAACTTAAAGCTTAAATATGTTGCTATTTGCGTCTATATCGGACAAGACTTAATTTTAGATCACTATTGAGGTCATCGACAAATTATCGTAAATGAGCGAGTTATGTAAAGCGAACACGAGAAGCGTCATCCATCATAATCCCGTGCTAACGATCCGCTCGATTTAAGTGAATCAATCAAGGATACGAAATGTCTGACAAATGTCTGGTAAATGTATCATCGTGATACATAAACAAACGTTGCAGCGATCATGATGAATGTATGTCGAGACGATAAAATATAAGTAGAAAACAAGAGAGAGAAAGAGAGAGACAGAAAACAATCATATATATAAATTTTATGTATTTCTATTAAATATCTCCTCCTAGCTTTTAAAAGAATAAAGCTGAACTCCTTGTATCCTGCTCGTCACAAGGATTCCAATAAATAAAGAAAGGAGAAAAATCGCGAGTTCGATGCACGATAAAGCAAACGGCGAGAGATAAACAGTGTCTAGCCGAAAACAATCGAGACGAAGCAGAATTACGTCGTAATTCATCGAGGCTTCTAGGATGGGCCCTCCTCTTTTACTCCTCTCGCCTCTTTTCCGTTTGTGCACTTAATGCTCCATTCGCGAAAATAGAACTGCAGTTATTAGTTCGTAAAAATAAAGATTCATCTGGAAAGACTTCGCCATAGATGCATTCGCTAGTGAAAACGAGAGAGATAAAGGTTCTCGAGAGATATAAAGTCCTCGACGGAGGTCGACTGATAAGAATCACAGTAAATTAAGTTCTTTAGTTGCATCGTGCCTGGATATTACAATGCACAAAATCTTCTTTTTATGCACGAAACTATCGATCGGAAACATAATGAGACGCTGAGACGGTAACTGAGATCGAATTAATTAACGGATTTGATTAACTCATTTTAGATAATTATATTACTATGCGCATATATAACAAGATTTCCTTCACTTTAAAGTTATACATATATAATATCGGTATCAAATATTACAAATAAGAAAATTTATATCAATATCAAATAATATTAATCGATAAAATTAAAATTCAGAAAGCCATTATATATTATAAGAAAAAATATTTTTCACGAAAGAGAAAAAAAAGTTTATCTTAATAGATTATAAAAGTATCTTTTTTTTCAAAAACTATAAAGATATGATAGATAAAAATGTTTTTCGCAAAATTGAAAACATTTTAATAAGAACAAAGTGTATTTGAGAGAATTCTTTGTGTGTATGTATATATGTGCAACAGTGTGTAAAATAATTTTCTTCATTCAAAAAATGTTTTATTCGTCATGTTTAGATGATATTGGCAATAACAGACATAGCGAATCATTGCGGTCTTACTTACGGTAGGGTGCATTGTGATCGTCGCGGCCCATGGCTTTGATCGAGCGGCCTATTACGGTAACATTGCCGCTGCTGCAAGTCGAGTAGAGACTCACGGAGCGCACCATCGCCGGCACCGCCCCGCACATCACCACCTGCAATTACAAGAACCCACTCGTGTATTCGAAATTTCTTAGTCACGTTATTCGTGAAATCGTTTTACCAGTACTTTGTTCCGCGAGAGCCGTGTTTAATAAAATGCATAAAGAATCGTCCCTCTCAACGAATCGCAAACAGTGACGTTTCGTAAATGAATTACATAATCGCGAATGCTTTGGATCGCAAGCACTTTTAATATCAAATCTGTGATTGTACTTTACGATTTGTAAAAGAATCGTATTCAAGATGCTCGTTTTACGACGATATTACTTCAACTGGGAGCGTAGTTTTATTTCCGATAATTTAATGAATTATTCAAATGCCGGTAAAAATTCATACGCAAGCACGATCGTATATTAAAAGAAGAAGGTAAGTAAAAAAGTAGTTAAAAATCAAGAAATCATGAAGCGATGAGAGAAAGCAATTCCGATCAAAATTAGAGAATCGCGTTTTATATATTATCCTTCGCGTATTATGCTGATTTCTCGATTAAATAGAAGGCTCGAGCTTGGCGAGAGATAAGAATTCGCGTGCCGTGTTTTCAGAACAACGACCGAACTGAGAATCGTTAAGGACGCCGAAATTCTTTCACGACCGCCTAAGAAGAACGCTTTTACGATCGGTTCACATATCACAACATCGAGTCATTCGTTGATTCGCTCGGACGGCGGATAACGTGCGATAAAAGTGCGCCTTGTCGTAGAAAGACGAAAAGTCATCATGCTGGCTGTTCGGAAATAGCATACACGTTGATGGTGGAAATCTCGTTAACGAGCGGACACGAGCTACACGTTAATAGTCACCGAAACCTGCGTTTTGTTTATATCAAAAGTGGCGCCGACATAGCATAAATTTTAATGTTCGATGCAATGTGTTCTAGTCAAAGAAACGTCAAAACATACTGAAATCACACTACTTAAAATCACAACGCTCGAATATCGTATAAATCTACATATATGTATAATAAATGTGATATTAAGAAGATACCACATATATGACGTGTGTCCTTTTATCTATATTATCGGATTTGTATATGGATCTCATCAATATATATGATTTAAATTATAATATCGAATAAATTGCGAACGTCCTGACAGTTGAATGTTAATAACATTAAATTGATTATTCTTGACGCAAATTAACGTTATTTTTCACACGATTACCTCAGGATTTATCACAAACAAATATATTGTTGAATAATATTATTGTGTAATAAACGTACATTAATGAACAAATATATATGCGAATAATCGAGTTGCGCTTATCGTTACAGAGAGCAATTAAATTCACATTGCGGGATTTTATTGCAGTTCCATAATCCTGTAACATCCACTTTTTAATATGTTTGAAATGGTCGATCGTACATGCGTATATAGCTAAAGCGACAAGTAGAGCGCTTCTTCTCTCTATCGTTTAACATACAAAGTTAAGTAACGACTGTACTCGCCGAAACTTTTTACGACGTGACGAGCATCGCATGCCACAAATTCTGCATAAGTGCATCGCGATACTGTGCACATGATCATAATCATGTTTGTCCTTACATGCATGATAAAAACTCGGCACGCTAATTGATTCCGCGATATTCACATTATCATTTAATCGACAGGACTTTCAGATCGTAAAAAGAAGCGTGAAGGATAATGACAATCGTCAGTGAATAGCTTTGCAATTTTATGTATCGGCCATTCATTAAATTCTCACGTAGCGAACGTATCGTCAAGATACGATAGTCTCGAATATGCTCGTCGCGCTATTTACCAGGCAGTTACTCGAACCGGCGACATCTAAATTTATCGCTCGCGATTCAGCCGACCACCCATTTAATTATTTATTGGATCGGCGAATCGTTTATTGCACCGCTCGAGACCGGTATCGAAGATATATAAATCTTATTTAAATACGATTCAAGTCTTCGCACGATGGGATTGTCGCGTAGATTGTCCTTATCATATTAAGAAGCCGAACACATAGATCTCCATAAATTTCAAAGGTATAATAAATAACAAATGCCATACACACACAAGCCAAATCGGAGATGATACTGAACAATTTATATAATATCATCTTCAAGCTTGAAAAACTATCTTATTAATAAGGAAAATCATGTCGATATACTATAATAGATAAATCAAAATTATATAAATAAATAATTATTCTATATTCTACCAATGAAAACTATCTTTAAATGCATTAACCGAAATTGACAAATAATTTCAATCGTTAAAAATTTAAAAGATTAAAAATTAAAAAGTCGAAACATGTTTAAACATATGTTATAACACTCAGAAAAATAACTTTGAAACGACGGAGACCACCAAAAAAAAAAACAACTCTTGATATATCGTGTACGCAGTTAATCAAAGTGCGATGGCAAGCTAGCGGTACCGCGATGAACGCCGAGTACTTAAAAATTCAACGTCAAAACTTATAGCGCTTCGCGGCGCCCACAGCGGGGAATTAAACGTACGCCGCAATGAGTTAAGGTGAGTTCAAAGCCGGCAGCGAGAGCGCCGCCTCGGCTATATAAATTGTCAGTGTTGTAAACGCGTAGGAGTGGAAGCGCTCCGATCATTAATCTATGGCAGGTAAGGTGCGTGCCGACGTAATCGTCGATTTACTTAAGTCTTGGCACGAGTTTCAGAGCACGCGATCCTCACACAGATCTCGACCTCTTCTTCGTGCACGAGATATCTCAGATCTGACCTAGTCACCCTCGCGAGATTGCAGCCTGTGTCGTATATCTTTACATATATTCGCGAGCTATAAAGTAGGTGATTTTGCGGCTTCAGCGGAATTGCGGCTGAAATTCTCGGGATACAAACGTCGTACCGCTCGTTACCGTTCGCGAAAACTAGGCCGACTGATCATCAGATTACCTTTATGCAATTGGTTCGTGCTACAAATGTCGGACACATTCAGAGATAAGATTACAAACCAATTATAGCGCGATGAATGCATCGGTCTTGAGCTCTCTGTACTTCTACTACATTTCATTTCTCGATTTTTATAATATAAATATTTCGAGATCTCTCTTTTTCCATAAGTATTTTAAATAACGATGTATAACTAATAAAATATATTATAGTCTCATTTGTTTGTTTTTCTAATAGTTTAATCGCAGTATAAAAATATTGTAATATAGCTAATCAGTAAACTATAATTTCTGTTAGTATTAAATATTTTTTTACAAAAAAATTACAAAGCTACTCACCATCAGGAGGCACAAAATCTTCGCTAAAACGGCAAGCTGTGGTAACCTAGAAACAACAAAAATACATCCATTAGTTAAAAATGTCCGACCGGGAATATGAACTGGAATATCCGATAAGACCGTTTTATCGAGTGCATTCCAATTTGCAGCGATTCTAAGTGATTTCGTATGCAAATAAATTTCACATGATTATATAGTATACTCGCGCAGTACGGTCATTACTATTGCAAACTGCACATGTCGAAAGTATAGGATGCATTTGATCGGTTATAATCGATAAGAGAAAATTACCGAGATAATCAGTGTTCAAAAAAAATACATTATTGCCAATAGAATATATGCCGCAAATTAAATTTCACTCTAACTTGTGTGCACATTAAATTCTTTAGAATATCTTTTTAAAATAACATATATACTTTTGTATGTTAAATTCTTAAATTTTATAAATTATGCTAGCCATTATCTAATTATTTATATTTAATTTCTACATTAATCATGTTAATATATATTTTGATTCCTTTAAAATTACACAGAAAGATTAATGTCAACCTAAACAAATCCGTAAACTTTCAATATATTTACGAACAATATTTTTGCACTTTTCGCAAATTCTATAATTAATAATGTCAATAATTTTCATTAGATTTATGATTAAAAAATTTAAAAAAATATATTCATTTTGTATATAATTAGATATATGTATATATATCGTACATATATACATATAATTTCCAGCGCAGTAATAAAGCGTGATTGACCGCGTATTGTCTCACGTAAGATCAACGCGTGCGGCAAAGAGATATCGGAGAGAATCATAGATAATCAAGAATATAGCGCGTACCGCGGATAGTAAATAACCCAGTTAGACACGCGAGCTCTCTACGTGCGGCAAAGCCGCCGCAAGAACGGTTGCGTAATGCGAATGCATCTCGTATGTTATAGAACGCAGGTGAACAACGTCAACGTGGCCGTGGTGGTAGGAACTCTCGTTATCCGTCCGCTTTAATTCGGCTGGGTTATTGGCTCGCCCCATACTCGTAATATCGCGGGCTGGACCAAACATGCCTTTCTTTCGCCTCATCCCGCCTACTCCGTCTCAATGCACTCGATGCACCGAGCGAAATGCCATTCTCTCTCTCGGCGTTCCCGATCTTCTTAAAATATATTCGCTTCATTTCGTCTCTGTTCAACGGAATCTTCTCGCGGAGAAGTACGGCGTTTATTTCTGACCTATCAGATTTTTTATCGTTCCTTTCAGTTCTCTCTTTTTTTCCACGAGACTCCTAATCGCGTCACGAGATTCTGATTATTGACGATTAAAGGTCAATGTAATTGGATTCAATTTTTCGGACGGAGTATCGGTGCAATCTCAACAAGAATTATTCCTTCTATATAAGAGGAAGACACAGTAAGTTCACGTGATACAGATTTCGCCTCAGGTCTTTGCCATGCATTCATCATCACACTCTCCGCGTTATATACATTGGGTCGTAACGTGGAGCACGATACGGCGTACGCAGTCGACTCAGGTTTCGAGGTTTAATTGCACTGGCGCGACTGCAGCAGCGGCGCGGCGACTCAATTGCAAATACACAACTGTATTCGAAATTTGCTGCCGGACGTGTGAAGAAACGATTTATGCTTTATTAAATCGAAAGGCCTCTACGCGCGCGTCAAGCATTCTTTAAAAGAAGTTTGAAAGATAAGGGCCATACAGTGGAAATTGATTTAATCGCGTATCTCGATTGATCATCTTTCCAAATTATCATTCATTCTATTCGATGTAATGATAAATATAGTTATAATTTTTAAAAAATTCTTGTTAAAAATTCTTTTGGAAAATATATAATAATGATAAATGATATTTTTCTATACAAAAAAAAAAACTGAATCTATATAAGTAGACCATATTTATGTTCTATTATCGTTCGATGTGACATTCCTGTTCTTTGTATATTGAGAGCCACTTGTAGATTGTACCCTACCACATTCCAAAGTATCTAATTTACGTCAGCAGCATCAATATCGATTTTTCAATTTTCACATCGACGAAGATCGCCGCCTCTACTAAACCAAGGTGTACGAGTATCCCACTCGCCGGGATGCCGGTTTACATAATTGCAAACTTAGTCACAACGACGTCCCGCTGACAACTACTTGCTAGCCGTTTCATTAACGGCCGTGGATCACCTCGGACGCGATAATACACGCGATGTACTGCGACGAAGGTAAACGCGGCGACGCGTCGAAAGGCGCATGGGATACATTAACATTTGGATCTCCCGGGACGTCTCTGACGTAAGGAGGAAAAATGTCTGAGAGCGAGATGTCCGTGAGAGTGTTTCACGGACGGATGATGAGACGTGTCATCGGGATGGAAAGAGGGCCGAAGAGACGAAGAATTCCATAGCGTTAGACCATGCGACATTAGTCGGGATATTTTTTGTTCATCTCGCGAATTATTTTACATATCAATTTATTATATAATCACCATTTTTAATTGTTATGACATTATCGAATTTATAGATTTCTTTTAGAATTTAAAGAGATTTGAATAAAATAAGTTGGAATAATTTTGTCCATTCGGTTAGCAAGACTATTATCGCGTGTATCGATATCGATACACGTGATCAGTACCACGGGATGCTGCGATACTGTCGCGTGAATACACGCGCTCACGTGCCGAGTCCGGAACCCTGCGTGGTTGGCGGTATACACGTGACCGCGTCATGGAATTCCGTAGAGTCGCGAAATTCCAGGACGTCGTCAAATCCGACCGTGACAAAATTCCAACACGCGAGCACGGTCTGCGCACGTCACGCACGTTTCCGTGACGCAGTATCCAGTCAATGTACGTTACTTACGTCTTGTACTGATAATAGCTGTCAATAGCTGATTGTGAGTCTAAAAAAATACCGTTACAAAGAAAATCTGCCTTGTTTTTTTTTTCAAAGAAAATAAATGGTATGCGTGATTCATGACAGAGAGATTCATATAAAATTCATCTCACACGATACGTAATGCAATGCATGATGGAAAGATTAATAATCAGGAATAAAAATAACGATTCCTGAATGTTTTTTCATTATCAATTCGCCGATTGTAAATCGGAGTCCAAATATCCTTAGGGCAACGCTAGATATGTCAACGAAGTCGCCGGAACTCACCCAATAATAGCTGTAGACATAGCTGCGAATCTCCACCTCGGCGTGTCATCTCAATCCATACATTGTAAACCGTACGAATTACCAGTTAGCCGCAATGGCGATTTAAACACTTCGTTTCGGCACAGATTCTCGCGGTTTTCGTTGCGGCGATAATATACGATCTACGAATATATATATATGTTACGCGAAGAATACATTTGACAGATCGATAACACTTTCACGATTCCGTTCGATTCAGTTTCGATAAATACGAGCAAATCCAGTTTCGAAAGCAGCGTTATGCGTTACATCAAAGTTCAGCGTTACGTCAAAGTTCAGCGAGAAAATCGTGCCGATTTCAATGTGACAGTGCGTCACTCTCGCATCTCAGCGAGATCGACTTTGCGAAAAATCCCCGCGCGCGCTCGAGCCAAGCCTATATACGTTATGTATATAAGCGATGAATTCGCGTCGCACACTTATCAAAGCCTAGTCCGTGAGCTTTCAAGTCGGAGTTAAACCTGGATTTAAGTAGATATCGTGAATCGTAACGCTGACGTAATACGCGAATCTCTGCGATTATGATGGGGTTTCCCGACCAATTATCCAGGCATTGTTAAAGCGGCGACGAATATCGCTCTTTGTGTCGTCATTAATTCCTGACAAAACATCGGATTTTAATGATGATATTACAGTCCACTATCAACGAGATGTTGCCCGTGAACCGCGAATGGAAAATTAGATTATTCTCATGCGTGACGGAAATTGCGATGGATTCGTTGGCGCGAGAAATCACTTTCTCGTTGGGAGTAATTTACTTGAAACGACGACCCGCTTGATCGCGATAATAGATCCGAAAAATCACTCCGCGAGTACACGCGACTTAGACGGGATCAGCACGGTGAATGCCGGCGAGGATGCGACATCCCGGACCACGTGGGGACTCATCTAAAGAGGATTTTGGTGGGGATATTTGTCGCCTGCCGCGTGAAAAACTGCCAACACTTGAATAGGCTCCGACACGATGATGAAAAACGCGGCTACCGACCCGACGCCGATGACTCTCAGCTGGACACCGCCTGTCGTCTAGGCGGGATACGCGAATTTCGTGCATGACTACACCACAATCCTGAGAAGTCATGCTAAAGGATCACGCTCATCGTCAATGTCGTTTAATGAGCAACCTAATCGATCACCTAGATCGCCGTCCACAAAACTGCCCGACGCGTACATCAGAACTTGTTTGCGTCACCAACTAAATGAATTACTATCGAGCGGTTTGACATATCGCTTCACACTACAGCGTGTGTATATATGTCGTGTGTATATTGGCATAGATATAACAAAGTTATGAAACTGCGTCGATTGATAAATTCGGATAAAACCATTTTCTTTTGAAACAAAAAATTATTTCAGCGAATTTAATTAATTAACTAACTTTTAATTACTTAACATACTTGATGTTGATATATTCTCGATCATAAAAGTTTATGTTTATTATTATTATAAGCTTATTACATAAAATTACTTGCTAGAAAGCTGAAATAGGCAAGGAATAGGAAATAGAAATAATATTTGATAAACTGTTCTCGAAGTTTCCAGCATTATGGGAGGGGGCGTTATATAGGAGATAAACGACGACGTCTCCATTCAGGATAACCACGAGATTTACTACCTTTGTAGTGCTTTTGTAGCACGAGCCGATCTACGCAAACGCCCCGAAGGGAAAAGTCACCTGGCATCGCGACACAAAAGCTGGCTCCGAAATGTTTCCTATATAGCCGTGGCAAATTGCGACAAATCACGCGTGTCAATGGATTCCCAGACGGTTACAGTAAATTGTCGTGACCAATCGTGGTGGCAATGCATCGCATCGCCAGCGCATCGCGATCAAGATCAA